TTCAACCTCTCTTCCCCTCCTTACTTACAAAAGCTTTGTTTCCATTTTTTATTTCATTTTTTTCCCATTTCTCTTCCTTCCTTTCCAGTGTTGCTCTCCCTAGTGCCCCTACCCATTTGAACCCAAATGAAATTTGAATTCCTGGAGCGCACTCTCCTTGTCCCTCAAATTAGGACAACTTGAGCTTGTTCTTCAGCTATAAAATGGTTAGCATTACAACAGCAATAGGTGAGCACTTTAGATTTCAGTTTTTTAGACACAATTCTGAGAATTTAAAATTGCAAATTAAATTATAATAAATTATAAAATATTATGTTGTTCTTATACAAAAATAACTAGCAACTACTTTGGGAGGGCATGAGACAGGGTCTTGCCGTGTAGCCCAGGCTGGCCTCAAACACTCAGCAATCCTCCTGCCTCTGCCTCCCAGTGCTGGCATTACAGGTGTGCACCACGACAGCCGGCCCAGCAACTACTTTTAAACTATCGAATATTTTCAGGCAGATAATTTTGAAGAGGATGTCAGAAAACCACAATCAGCCAGTTCAGGTTTTAAATTTTATTTGAATATGGATTATCTCCAAGTCAGATGGTTAAATGCAAGATTTTTTGGCTAATTTAGGGTGGCATGGAAGCTATGAACATTCAGTAGAAACCCAACTTTGAATTGTGAATTTGGATCTTTCCCGCAGACTAGCAATGCACAGTCCCATGCTTTCTCACAATGCTGGGCAGCAACGGTGAGCCCAGCCCTCATTAGCCCCTGCAATACATGAGTCATTCAACACTTGGTTAGAAAGCAGGCTTTCTGTTAGATGATTTGGCCCAAGTGTAGGTTAAATGTTCAGGAGAAGCTACGATGGTCTGTAGGGTAGGTACATTAAATGTGTTTACCATTTAGGATGATTTTCTACCATATCCTTAAGGAAGCATCTGTACATGGCACTTGTGAGGGTTTCAGGATGATGATGATGATGATGATGACGACGACGACGATAAAATCCAAATCATTTTATAGGCCTTCCTATCTTGTCAGTCACTTGGGAGGTCCTTGGCTACAGTCTTGTCAGCTGGAACGGGTTTGGAGCGAATCACTCAGAAGAGGGATTGCCTTTGGATCAACCGTGCCCCCACTCCTGCGTCCCTCTCTCCCTTCTCTTCCCCTCCCCACACGATGCCTGTGCAGTGAGCCTACACGGGGATTTTGCTCATCTTTTTGTAAATATTAGCCAGCAGAGTCAGAGGCCTTCAAATGTGGTCTATAAATTAGAGTTTTAAACCAATTAAGTGATATCTAAGTGAATTAAAATTGAAAATGTATTCCCCTCACTGTTTGTGGCCCCTCACTGAGCTCCAGCAGCAGTTGCTCCTGACCTCCCATGGACTAAGGCAGCCCTGTGTGGGGAGGTGGGGACTTGGGGACCAGGGATTCGATTTCAGAAAAGAGAATTTTTAAATGTATCTAACCAATAAGAATTTGCAAGAAAGCAAATGTTTAGGGTTACATTTGAAGCTATTTTTGCCATGTATTTTTATTGAGGTGTGTTTTCCATACAGTGAAATGTATGTCCACGTTTAATATACAGTTCAATGACTTTTGACAAATGCATATCTGACAATTCTTTTCTGCCCATCTTAGTCTGTTCTTTGTTGCTATAACAGAATACCTGTGATTGGGTCATTTCTAAAGAAAAAAGGTTTTCTTGGTTCATGGTTGTTATGGCTTGTATCTAAGTGTTCACCCAAAGCCTCATGCAGTCATAGGTGGGGCTTTTTGGAGGTAGCTGGATCTAGGATTTATGCTGCTGGGATCAAGGACATGATGCCGGGATTGTTTCTCGGTGTGATGCTAAGATTAAGGGTGTAAGTGCTACTCACCCAGAGCAGGTAGCCTGGGTACAATATGAGGGACAGAAAGAGGCTTGTCTCTGGCCCCTCGCTTGCCTGCTTTGCTACCTTCTGTCTGCCATGAACTGTTTCCTCTGTGGAAGGCCTGTCTGCCACGCCACCCTGTGTTGGAGCCAGCCAATTATGCACTGAAACCTCTGCAAACAGTGAGCTAAATAAAGCTTTCCTTCTTTAACTTTAGGTATCAGGTGTTTTGTCTCAGTAATGAGAAAGAGTAACTAGGACAGTGGTTCCAAAGGCCAGGAAGTCCAAGAGCATGGTGCAGGCAGCTGCTTGGCTTCTGGTGAGGACTTCATGATGGAAAATGGAAGGGAAGAGATGGAGTGAAGAAGAGAGGAGGGGCCGGAGGGGCCAGATAGTTTGTAAAAACCCACTCTCGTAATTGAGACCCAATCTAGTCTCAAAAGAAAATCACTAATCCTTCTTAAAGTCTCCCATCTCCAGTACGCCCTCATTGGCAGCCAAATTTCACTATGCGTTGTGGTGAGGACAAACCATATCAGTAGCAATGCCCTTCCCATTCTCCCTCAAGACAACAACGAATCTCACGGTATGGTTTAGAATTTCATACAAATGGAACACTCTCTTCTCCTCCTCTTCCCTCCCCACTCCTCTTTCCCTTTACTACTTAGTCCAGGGTAGGCTTGAACTAACAATCCTCCTGCCTCAGCCTCCTGAATGCTGAGATTATAGGCATGCACCACCACACCCTGCTAGTATTTCTTTTTGTGTCTGGCTTCTTTCCCTCAGTTTTAGGTCTAGGAGATTCATCTAAACTGTCCCATACTTTATTCCCTTCATTGCTCAGTCGCATTCCCATTGTTGTATGTCTTTGTTACCTCTTCTTTTGTTGGACACTTAAACTGTTTTCAGATTTTTTGCTGTCATGAATAAAGCTAATCTAAACATTTATGTTTACACTTTTTTTGTTTTTGTTTTTTTGAGACAGGCTCTCACCATGTAGTTGAGACTGACCTGGAACTCACTATGTAGCCCTGGCTGGTCTTGAACTCACAGCGATCCTCCTGCCTCAGCCTCCCGAGTGCTGGGATTGCAGGCGTGCACCACCACGCCCAACTATGTTTACACTTTTATGAGGACATAGCACAGTAACATGATGTGGCCAGCCCATCACAGCCGAACTCTGGTTCAGTGACATCAGATTGGTAACATGCAATACCCATGGAAATCTTTACACCACAACTGACAAATGCTACAAGTGAGATTTTTTTTTCCTGGAGAGCTGGTTACTAATATTTACCACTATACATTGGATATATGTTTTCATTTCTGGAATTAATACCTAGAAGTGGCCTTGCTGGTTTACATGGTAGATGTATATTAAACTTTAAGGTGACAAACTGTTTTCTAAGTGATGGTTTTACACAACCAGTGTATGAAATGTTCCAGTTTGTCAGAAAGGGGAAGATGGGAAATGGAGGTTATGTGACAATCCAGTAAACAGAAATTATACGTTTTACTTTTTTAAAAAAAAGGTACTGGAGCCTTCATACTGAGCCCCCAGCCCCTTTTTATTTTTTAATTTTATTTTGAGATGAGCTTTTACTAAGTCACCCAGGTTAGGTTCAAATTTGCAAATTCTCCTGTCTCAACCTCCCACCGTGCTGGGATTATAGGCGGGTGCCATCATCCCTGGCTTCAGTCTCTTCTAAGAGAAAGAAAAGACATTCAATAAATACATGTTGAAGCAAGCTAAGGCTCCCTCACCTAGTGACCTTCCTCTCTGATCTTTCCCATTTCATCCCTGAGGGATTCTGTGAGTCTCTAAGCAGAATGCAGTCACTTCAAACACAAAAGGCCATTTATACTGCTGGGGAAAGGATTAAAAAAGAAAATCTCATGCCAACCCAGTGAAGCCAGCCGCTCCATAAAGACAGAAGAAACAAAGCAGTTTTATTATTGAACAAGCATTAAAGAAGACTGCTGTACATCACAAGCAATCTGCTGAAGAGATTTCAAGGACACCAAGAAACCTCCTTCATTTATGTAACAGATACAAATCATTATACACATGTTCTCAAAGGAACCATTAACTTGTCCTCAAGAAAACTTGACAGCACCATTTGGAACATGTAGTTCACCCCAAATTCACCTAGTAATTAGGTGGCCATTTTTTAGTTTAAAAGCCTTTATCTAAAGGAAAACTAAGACTCCTACCTCTATGACTAGTAGCTAACAACTTAAAACCAGATACACAGATGAAATTCCCAGGGAGACAGGGATGTTATTTTTATTGTTTACATTTCAGGCAGATTGTTCTAACGCCCTTGAGGAAATGCAATTGCCTTTATCCAAAGTAAAACTAAGACTCAAATCTCTATGACAAGCAGGTAACAACTTGGAGCCAGGAAAGCAGATAAAATTCCCAGAGACAGGGAGATAGCGATGTTATTTTTGTTGTTTACATTTCAAAGAGATAGCTTCAAGACCCTTAAGGAAAATATCCCAGGGTTGTGAAACTGGCAATAATCCTACAATACTTAGCTTTTTAAAAGATGTACAGATATTTCAAGTGGACAGAAAAACATTTACAAGATTTTTGAAGGAAATGCTCCAACAAAAGGGGAGAACGTCCTTTTTGACACCAGGGAACATTCAACTTTGAATAAAAGTATTCTTCCATAACTCCACACACTGACCGTCACTCCATTCCGGGTCCACAATTCCCTCTCCACGTGGCCACTCATGGCTGGTGTTTCAGATTCTCATCAACCCCTTTCCAAGCCTCCGAGAAGACCTCCCTTTCTAGGCCAGATCCCCAGCCCTGGCCACACCAAAGGCCCGCAATTATCAAAGGCTATGACTACACCCTCATAGAGCTGGTAAATATTGCATAACCCATTTCAAAGACGGTAAAACTGAGACACAGGAAAATTCTGAAAGGGTGCTTAGGGTACTGACCTCAATTTGCAATTAAGGTTTTCTGTCCAGATTCTTACGACTTAAATGACCAGGGGGAAAAAAAAAACTCTTCTTTATTCCCTGGCACAATTGGGGTTAAAGCCCTCATTCAACAGTTCGCGCCCCGAGTGCGCCTGCGCGAGTCAGGACCTGCAAATTTGCCCCAGACCCTGACGTTTCAAACGGCCTCGCCTAATCCGGAACACGACCCACATTCCGCTGGTCCTGCCTTGACAGGCATGATCGTAATCCAATAAGAATGAAAGGCTGAATCCTACAGAGCCAATGGCCAAAGTCCGAGGGGCGGTGGAGGCGGACTCTGTGAGGAAACAAGAAGACAGGCCCAAGATGGAGGCGCTGGAGGCTGTAGCGGTGTGACAGGTGAGGGCGGGCCCGGTAGCGTTCGGTTTTTGGAGCGGCCGCCAGGCACGGGCAAGGAGCCCGGACTGAAAACTCAGCTCCAGGATGGCTGCACCTGGACCCTGGTACCCCCAGCCCGGAACTGGAGGAGTGGTTTGACCTGGGGCGAGACCATCATCGACCGCGGGGGTGGGGTGGGTTGACTGGAATAGGCGGACAGAGCTGCCGCGATGGTTTCGCCCGCCGTGCGAGTGAGTGGCCGTGCGCCTGCGTAGAGCCCGATGCCCTTCGGGAGGCAGGGCCAGGCCGAATGGGACCCTAAGACTTGGTTATAGAGTGTCCAGATTCACTCCTGAACCCCTTAGAATACCTTCCTTTACAACTCCAGGGATTGCATGGAGATGCAGCTCACTTCCTGGCTTCCTTATTCTGAATCAGTGTCTGAGGTCCTAGTGGAATCTGAGGGTTTCCCCATTACCCCCCTTTCACCTTCTCTGATCTCCTTCTGTGATCCCTAAGTTTACACTAGTGATCTGTTGTCATTAATTGTTAGGAGAATTTTTGCAGGCCCTCCCTGCACCTTACCTCCTTTTTACTCAGTCTGACACCATTATCTTCCTTTTCCTTTCCCATAACAATGTCTGGCAAGCCACTATTACCACCCCATTATCTCCCCTTCTCCCTATTACAGTCCTCAGTGACTCCTGCTACATCTCCCTTCCGTATAGAAAGCCCCTATAAACTCAGAGCCCCTATAAATTCATCACAGAGTCTGATGACCTCCATTAGCCACCTAACACAGTGTCTGTGAGCCTCGCATCAACATTACACCCACGACTCAGGGATACCCCCAGTGACCTTTAAGAACACTGATCTAGCCGGGCGTGGTGGTGCACTCCTATAATCCTAGCATTCCTGGAGGCTGAGGCCGGAGGATCGCTGAGTTTGAGACCAGCCTGGGCTACATAGTGAGTTGCAGGTCCGTCTCAACTACATAGTGAGACCCTGTCTCAAAAATCCAAAAAAGAAAGAAAGAAACACAAAAACCGCACTGATCTAACCTCCATTTCCCCCACACTAAGGGCAAGACCTAATGATCATACATTTGCCCTCACTCTGTGCCACCTCCCTCCCCTCTGTATCTGGTCACTCCCCTGCTCCATTAAAAAAGCCAGGACAGCCTGTTCTGCCCATTATGTACCCAACATCCCCCGTGCAGTGTGTTCTGACTTCCCCGACAGTCCCCAGCACAAAATCTTGTGTACTGTACCATCCAGGACAGTGTTGCCGCCTCCCATTGCTGCCTCCTCACCACAGTGATTCTGTGACCCTGGCACCCAGGAATGAGACAAGCAAAGGAAGAGTCTGAGCAGAGGAGGAGCCCAGTAGAGTTCAGATGTTAACAGGATCCTTGGAGCTGTTACATAGAAATTAGGCTACAGGGGGCAGCAGGAGCCTACAATTGAAATTTTATGTTGGCTCTTGCCAATTTGCTTCATGCTATCATTACTGAACCTTTAAATTTCTCCTCTGCCTGCTCTTCCCTAGAAGCCCCATGGCACCTGGCCAGCCCCACCTCAGCCCATCTTGACAGTCTTAGGCTCCATGGAGCCACCACGGGGCCCCCCTGCTAATGAGGCCGAGCCATCCCGGGCAGTGGGCACTGTCAAAGTGTACCTGCCCAACAAGCAGCGCACAGTGGTGAGTCAGGAGGGCAAAACTGGCATGGACCCATTTGTAAGCCTGGGATTGGAAGGGTGACAAAGGCTGGTGGGTCACTGCTGGGTCCCCACCTCTGCATACACACACACACACAGGTGACTGTCCGGGATGGCATGAGTGTCTACGACTCTCTAGACAAGGCCCTCAAGGTGCGGGGTCTCAATCAAGACTGCTGTGTGGTCTACAGACTCATCAAGGGGTAAGTGTGGCAGACCCGCCACCCACTGGGTACCCCACCTGCCTCCCCTCCTCAGAACCATCTCTTTCCTTCTTCACTCAGGGATAAACTCTTTTACCAGTTCATTTAACCCATAAGCCTGTTATATTTTGTTTCATTTCTTCCTTAGTTCATTGGCCTAGAAAGTCTGCAACTCATTCTCTCCTTAGCTCCCAACTCCTCACCTGCTCTTCACCTCCTCCCAGAGTTCATCTGCTTTCCTTTTTCACAGTTTCATGAATTCATCAGCTCTCTCCTTCCTCGGTTTTCCCATTTTCTGCTGAGTTGGGCCTCTCTGATCTTCCTTGGTTTGTGGTCCTATCTTCCTTATTTTTTTTATCCAGCTCATACATTGTGTTGCAGTTGTTGTTTCACTTTCTCAGGCTGGCTTGCCACATCTAAGGTTTGGTTGAATAGTTTCACTTGCTTCTCACCTTGTCTTAAGAGCATGGATTCTTACCACCATCCCTTCGGGCAAATCACATTCTCCCTCTGAGTCTGTTTCCCCATATGTAAAATGGGGGTGAGGGTGACTAATTTAATGAGAATTAAACATGCCAGATAGTAGGCTGCAGATTGGAGTCTTAGCGAGACTTTTGAAGCCTTCCTGCCTCGCCATGACCTCTGTCCACCCTCCCACTCTTCTCCTGCCTCCTGCAGGAGAAAAACAGTCACTGCCTGGGACACAGCCATTGCCCCCCTGGATGGAGAGGAGCTCATTGTGGAAGTCCTGGAAGATGTGCCCCTGACCATGCACAATTTTGTGAGTGCAGCATGGATAGTGGGGGCAGCCCCTGGGGACAGGAGGGTCCTGATCAGGCCTTACCCTTCTTGCTGTGTGGGAGCAGGTACGGAAGACGTTCTTCAGCCTGGCCTTCTGTGACTTCTGCCTTAAGTTTCTGTTCCATGGTTTCCGATGCCAAACCTGTGGCTACAAGTTCCACCAGCATTGTTCCTCCAAGGTCCCCACAGTCTGCGTTGACATGAGTACCAACCGCCAACAGTGAGTTCAGCCTGCGTGGCTGGGGACGGGGAGGATAGAGGCTCAGTGACAGTCCCTTACAGACAGCTGAACCATGTCCTCTTGTTTTATACCCTTAACACCTTAAGGTTCTACCACAGTGTCCAGGATTTGTCCGGAGGCTCCAGACAGCATGAAGCTCCCTCAAACCGCCCCCTGAATGAGCCGTTAACCCCCCAGGGTCTCAGGTAGAGATGCCTTAGCCAAAGGGCTACTGGGGGAGACAAAGATCTAGTGGGCCTTGTGACCAAAAACCATACTTTCATTCGTTTACTTGACAAACATTTACTGAGCACCTACAAGCATGAGTAAGAGCATGGAGCTGTGGGACCTTGGGCAGGTTACCTACTCTCTCTGGGTCAGTGTGCTCATCTATAAATAGGGGGTGATACTTTTTACCATACAGGGTTCTGCTTACAGCAGGATCTGGTACAGAGTAGTAAATAATCAAGTATTCTTCCTATTAACTCTAAATATATATAAGCATCTAACTACTTTGTTCTAGCATAACCATGCTCAAGCCTTTCCTTTTTGAAATAATGTTATATTGTCATAAATTACTTCTCTAATCCACATAAGCTGGGTGGCTGAGAAAAAAGGATTGCAAGTTTCAGCCCAGCCTGGCAACTTAATGATTTAGTGAGACCCTGTCTCAAAATAAAAAAATAAAAAGGGCTATGGATGTAGCCGAGTGCAAAGGCCCTGGGTTTAGTCCACAAAACCAAAAAAAAAATTAATTACCTCTTTTATTTATGGTAATACTATAATGTATCTATATGTCTCTATATACCTAATATGGAAAAATATATTTTGTAATTTGCATATTTATATGACATAATGTTCATACTGTATCACATGCTACTGCATCATGTTTTATTACATAACATTTTTATGTGATGTAGAATAAGGTAGACTTTTCTAACAATATATAAAAAGGGAAGGTCAAGGTTTTATTTTTAATTTTGCATATATGTGGATTAATTACCTCTGAATTTCATTTTAGAATAGTGAAAGGAATATTAAAACTATTTCTGTAGCTGGGTGCAGTGGCACATACCTATAATTCCAGCACTCTGGGAGGCTGAGGCAGGAGGATCCCAAGTTAGAGCCAAGCTTGGGCAACTTAATGACTTAGTGAGATTCTGTCTCAAAATAAAAATAAGAAGGACTGGGTATGTAGCTCAGTGAGAAGAGCGTGTACATATGATGTTTTCAAGCATTGCCATTTTAATACACAATGCATGTTATATAATACATATTTGAATAATATATGTCATTAAAATATGTCATTATAAAATATCTAGTCGGGTATGGTGGCACACAACTGTAATTCCAGCACTCAGGAGGCTGAGGCAGGAGGATTGCCATGAGTTGGAGGCCAGCCTGGGCTGCATAGTGAGTTCCAGGCCAAGCCTGAACTATGTAGCAAAACCCTGTCTCAAAAAAAACCTATATAAATTAGTTAATTAAACCTTATCCTTCCCCCATTCCATTATCTTTGTCCCTCATTGTCCTTCCATTCAGCCTTTGCTTCAGTGTTACCTTCTCTGAGAAACCTCTCCTGACACCCCCTATGAGCACATTCTGTCCCCTTATTTTGCTTTCCTTTTTCTTTTCTTGCATCTATGGCCCATAGGCATATTATATAGTTTGTTCTTCATTCTTCTCTCCCTCTGTTGGAATATCAGCTCCACCAGGGCTAGAACTTTTATTTATTTTAATCACAGTTTGACTTCCACCACCTAGAATGATGTCTGGCACACAGCAGGCGCTTGGTAAATGTGTCTGTACCATTAAACGAGTACTAGTGTGACCCCCAGAAGTTGGCTCTGTGTGAGCTAAATGCATGCTCAGGACAGCAGGGGCAGTCTTCTCAGCTCCAGCTTCCTTCTATAGCAAGCTCACAGTCTTCCTCCCGGCAGCCCCTGCACCCAGCACCGCGAGCAGGAGCGCTTCCCGTTCCCTGCCCCGGCCAATGCACCCCTGCAGCGCATCCGTTCCACGTCCACTCCCAATGTCCACATGGTCAGCACCACGGCCCCCATGGACTCCAACCTCATGCAGGTGAGTGCCAAGGAGACAGTGGCGCGGAGGACATTGCAAGGGTGAGAGCCACTCCTGCTGGCTTCCGTTTTCTTGTTTTGACTCCTGTCCCCTTCTTCCAGCTCACTGCCCAGAGTTTCGGCACCGATGGTGAGAGCCCTCCCCGCTTACATCCTGCGTCCCCTCTCCCTGCCAACCCCCTTGCTTCCACTCACATCCTCCTCTCCACAACTGTAGCTGCTGGTGGTAGAGGTAGTAGCGATGGAGGCCCCCGGGGGAGCCCCAGCCCAGGCAGCGTGTCCTCGGGGAGGAAGTCACCACATTCCAAGTCACCTTCAGAGCAGCGGGAGCGGAAGTCCTTGGCAGAGGAAAAGAAGAAAGTGGTACGCTGGAGGGGATACCTTGGGGGGCACTGCAGGCTGAGTGATGTGGGCTAGGGGGTGTGGGCAGCCCCTCCACGTGCCACCCGTCTGGCCCACAGAAGAACCTGGGGTACCGGGACTCGGGCTATTACTGGGAGGTGCCACCCAGTGAGGTGCAGCTGCTGAAGAGGATCGGGACAGGCTCATTTGGCACCGTGTTTCGTGGGCGGTGGCATGGCGACGTGGCCGTGAAGGTGCTCAAGGTGGCCCAACCCACCGCTGAGCAGGCCCAGGCCTTCAAGAATGAGATGCAGGTGCTCAGGTGAGGTCGCTTGTGTGTGTGGATAGGGGGTGGGGTGGTAGAAGACACAGCCTTGGCACCTGTCTGGGAAAAGCCATGCTCTAGAGTGCTTCCTGGATGTCACCTGCATTTGTGTACCATTGGAACTATAATCAGAAGTAATTTCTCTCAAGGATATTCCCTCCCTCTCTGGAAAATTGGCCTGTGGAAAGGAGCTCTGCTGATGTTATTGTTTGTGTTTGGGGTACTGTTGGTAATGATTAGCAATTCTGTCTCCAAAATGTGAGTCTCCTCATTTACCTGCTGTGAGCGGGTCTGCATGTAGTCCATTGTCCCCATGACCACAGCACATAGGTGAAGAGCTTAGTGTCATTAACCGCAGTGCTGCAGGGAGGCTTGTGTCTTCCCTCCCCTCTGCTGTGCTACATCATTCATGCCAGGGTTGTTGTGTCACAGTCTTGTTATAAATTAATCATAATAACACCTTAATGCAAAGAGCAGTGTTGTTATAATCATAACCATAATCAAATCATCATTTAATGATTATAATTGCCATAAATAATGTGTAGCTAGTGCTGTACCAATTTGTTCATGCTGAGAAATCTAGGTGTTCCCTTTTTGCTGCTGTAGTTACTATGTAGAATACTGCTGTGTGCCTGTATTCTGTATAGGCAGGACAGTGTAGGCTCTGAGTGTGTGTGTGTGTGTGTGTTTCCAAGGATGCAACCCAGGGTCTTGTGCATGCTGGGCACATACTTTGCCACTGAGCTATACCCCAACCCCTCAAGACTGTATAGTTTCTGCCACTCCTGTGGATGCCAGAATGAGCTTTGCTCCCATCATATGGGCACAACTATGTTACTGAGTTGATGTCATCATAATTACTTATGCTGTATTAATATATATCCTTATAATGAATGCCACAGTAAGAAGATTTTTATTCTTGGCTCCTCTCTGTGAAATGGCAATGATTTGAGTGTGTGCTAATTTGTGTTCTATTAAGATACAGTATATTATCTTTGCAGTACTGGGGATTGAACCTAAGCCCTTCTCACTGAGCTGTATCCCCAGCCCATTTTTGTTTTTTGAGACAAGGTCTCACTAAGTTGCTAAAGTTGCCAAGGCTGGGCTCAAACTTGTGGTCCTCCTGCCTTGGCCACCCAGAGTGCTGGGATCACAGGTGTGCACCACCAGGCCCAGGCTGTATTAATGTTTTAACTATTGGTTTACCACTGTTCAATCGTTATGTGTTGGTCTGGAGATTTAGCTCTACGATGGGTCCTGAGTTCAATCTTCAGTCCCTAGCAATGCAAAAACAAAACAAACCCACCAAAAATAATTCTTAAAATCTTCATGTGCTCTGATATCCTCTCTGATATGAGCAGAATTGCAGAGTATCATCTATGTCATTTGCCTTTGTGTTACCATTTCTTTTTTTTTTTTTTTTTTTTTTTTCCCGGAAAAACTTGGGG